CGATGAACAGCGTATTATAGGTAAATGAACCGAATATGAGACCTCATCGTATTTTTACGAACAAGTGCAGCCATGCTGCAGTAGAGCTTTAAATTACAACGGCTGGATTGTGCAGAATTTATGCAGATTCGTATTTTCGAGAATATAATTAAAAAAGTAGAACCTCGGCGGAAAATTGTTTTACGTAGCAAGTGCTACAGAGAGCAAGCTATACAGTGCAGTCACGGTTATCCGATTCTCGTTTAACCGAAGCTCCGTATTATCCGAGATGCTTTTGAAATTAATCCTAACTTCGCTTTTTTCCGAAATTTTAGCGCAGAGAAATAGTCTGAAACCGCGAAAGTAACCGATGGCACATTCAAACGACTACACAATTAATTAAGCCTAAATACACGTACATTGATTACCAACGTTATCGAAATGCTTCCTACGATTCTATCCTACAATTTACCTACGTTCTTACTACACCTTCCCGTGTCATCCGAATGTTCGACTGTCCCAAGTTGCTCCTTCTATCAGCCGACATTGAATCAAACGTTCTATGTACAATGGAAAAATCATGATGTGGCACAAACATCGGCGCAACGAATCGGTGGCTGCAGTTCGTTGGACATTCTCGCATTGTTCGATTAATCGATGTTTCGACGATTTTCCGGGTCGCGAGGTTCGATATCACGTTCAAGTGGCGGAGCTTGCCCCGAAAAATCTCCACGAGGCCAACTCGTATCACGATATTATCCTGCTTGATCTCTGATTCCCCGGGGACAGATAGCCTGGAATATTCGCCCGTCGATAGGCCGCAGGCTCGCCAGCTAGCCCGCCAGGAATACTCTGTTTTCAGCCAGGACTATTCTGTTTTCAGCCTGGACTATTCCGAAAGCTCTAGAACCGCGGCCGCTGCGGAAGCTCCGGGAGACACGTCGCATAAAAAAAATCCCGACGATAAAATAAAATCGTTCAATTCTAAAGTGCTGCGCGGTGGTTGAAATATTTACTCCGTTTGATAGTTCCGATGGACGATAAGTATCGGGTCGTTTTTTCCTCGCTTTGGCGTCACGGCCCTGTGGATACTAAGAGTGTTGCCATGGGAACGTATGACTGTCGTTTTCTACGTTCACGAGTCTTTTGTCATTCGATTCGAATACACGAAGCGCGCAATGAACGATTAATCAGGCAAAGCAACGATTAGTACGGTGCCCGACAGAGTAAAAATTGGGCGTGCCTTGTTATCGTAGGAATATAAGCTGGGCAGAAAGGCGACAGACGAGGCCTGTAACACGCGTCAAGCGAAAGGAGAAATAAATCATCTTATGCAGTTTCTAAAAGATACAAAGTTTTTATAACACGCGATATACTGCTAGCAAATCGCGCAATTTTGCATTAAACACATGGTCAGACTGGTGGTCTGAACTCACATTCTCTTTTCACACTTGCATTGAACAGAATGCAATTGTCTACGACTATAGTCGTTGCTAATCCTTGGCGGTCAACGTATCTCTAAATCGATAAATCGATAAATTAAAGAAAAAAAAGAAAGAACATCGTATAACCCAAGTTCGCGTTTCCTTTCGTTAACAAAGAAACGACAGAACTTTCCTGATACTTTGCTACGTAGTTTTTATCATTATCGAGGAGCTTGCCATAACGTAGGACGGTAGTTTTTGTAGGATCCAGCTTCATAGAACGGTATCGCCTAAGGTCGTAGCCAGCGTGAGCATAACTTGCGAAATTCCTGACAGTTCCGGACACAATTTCGTGCACAACTTTTCGCAGAACCTGCTACTTCATGAAACCAAGGGAAGGAGCAGTGCGTCGCGGAATGCAGTTTTTTTTCTTTTTCCCTAACGTGTCTTGTTTTAATATCGATAGCGTGGGCAATAAAAAGATGCGGATTCGCGGTTGAGCCGTACAGAAATATAACTTTCTATCGACGCGATAAAATATTTCGTGAAAGGAAATAAGCAGATACGGAGACGTTATGTTGCAGACGGATTTTACATACGCGAAATCTTCAACAGGACGATGATCATCCAACGAAAAATGTATCTAACGAAGGAAACTATCGGATAAGACTGACGTTTCCATTTTTCGTCCTTTCGTTTTGCATTAAATAAACTTCAACGTTGCCGACGGTTTGCCGGATTAGCATTTGCGGTTTTAGTCGCTTAATATCCTCGCACAGGTACTTCGACGAACGTTTAGAAAATTGATTTCAACTCGAGTTTCGTGGGCAATCTGTCTTGCTGTGAGATATGGGTATGGCGCGGCAACGTGAAACAGCGCGTTTCCCGCTAGCAGAAACCGCGGAGAGTCGTCCACTGCTGCTCTGCTTCACAACTAAGCCATAAATTTATTCCTCGCCACGCTCATTCCTGTCTATCGATAAATTGTGAATAGCTTGGCAACTATCCCTTACATAACCCGTGGCACTTCAAAAATTCATACATTTCGTCCTTTGACTTCTACCGCTCTTCGTCGATCGGTCATAATTCATTCCTCGCCATACTTATTCGCGTCTTCCAATAAATTGCAAAAAGACTTTCCATTACACTTTGTAGTTCGAATGTTATTTCAAAAGTTAATAATTTGACTGTAAAATAAAACGCGAAATTCCGATAAATATTTCGGTTTTGGAAATTTCCTTGATAAACAGAGCGAAAGAGAAGGAAGTGTCACGCCATAATGCAATTTGGAGCTAACTGGACACTTTTAAAATGGTTCTAGCGTAGAACAAAAATATTACAAGACGAGAATAAACGTTTCGAAGAAAGTATTTGAACACTTGCTGCCGTGGGAAACGTTGTACGCGTTGTCGAGTATTATTTTGCAAAAATTACGGTGGACCGTTTCATCCTGCCTTGCGACGATTCTTCTGCTGCCACGTCGTACTTAGATATTACTAACTCTTTTATAAAAGGTCGTTTAAACAATTTCAATCGAAACTAATTTTTTCCAAAGATGACAAAACTCGATCTACGATATCGACTAATAAAAATAAGTTACTAGTCGTCCAGTACGGTAATTCGATGCAACTGTAAATAATCGGGCGAAACAGAAAACAAAATAAAAAATGTTCGCATTATTTTCAACGTATAAAGCCAACGAACTCTAAAAAATCAGCCCTTGTTCAACGCGCGCGCTATTCGATTAATGTCATTTTTGCAAAAAAAAAAAATGGCCATGCACTCGTGACTGCGCACGATCTTCGATGAAACACATTTTTGTTGAAACTCGTCAGCGGAGATATTCGCGCGACGGAGCACGCCGTAAAATTACTTTACATATTCCACAGCGTCGCACGATTCAGCGCAATTTAAAGCATTTTCGGGGTGGTCGATCTTCGCGTTCACGATGCAAGTATCGCGATGGAAGTTGCGAGCAGCGTGAAAATTCATCGCGATGCGAGCGAGCCAGCCGGCTGAAACTCGATTGCGCGAGTAATGAGACGCCGCGAAACATTCCGTCACGCGACCAGATTCGTCGAACATTCCGAGTAATCCAATAATTCACCGTGCTAGATATAGCCCGTGTGGCAGAAATTGAAATTTAACCCAATCCGCGACAAGGTCTAAGTGGCAATTTCACATAGCGCCGTGCCGCTTCGCCTTTCCCATGACGTTTCTTCCAAGAAAGCTCCTCTCGTTAATTACTCGACTGTAGACGAGGAACAGGTAAATTCTATTTTATACTGCACCCTAATTACGCCGCATTTACGTCGCGCCACTATCATCTGCTCATTGAAAGAATGCAACGTAGTCCTCTTAGGTTCGTGTTAGGATCAGAATAGGCGTCTGTTACAGCGATCGTCGCTGTTGTTACATTCAATCACGTTCTTGTCGAATCTGTGATCTCTCCGGGCTAGGAGAACTGTAGCGGGTTTGTTATTCCTCTTCAAGATTAACAATAGCACTCGGAGCACGCGTCTATCGTCTGGTCGCCAAACCAGTTGAGATACCAACAACTCGTTGAGAGAATGCAGCTGGTCTTCTTAGGTTCGCGGCTTGTAAATTGGGTCAGACTAGGTCTCTTACAGGTTATGATTTTAGAGCACAATTAATAAGAATAGTATCTTATAAAAATCAATTTGTTAACGTGGAAGCAAATCGCAACATTCCAGTGAATTGACTGGACACCGGGTCGATGTCTCCATTGTTCCAGTTTTTTACTGGATCTTACTTCGATCCACCGTCTGGGCTAACGCGTAAGCCTGACTTTAAATGGTCGTTCCGTTCATCGTCGTCATTTGTGTATCGATGTAAAAATAATATACAGATACGAATAAATATTTCGACGTTCGTTTACGGAAAATCGAACATCTCGATAGTTTCTGTAGATTCCGGGCGCCATCGTAGAAATCGTCGTTTTCGTTCGAGGGGCACGTTCAAGGAGCTATTAGCCTTCGAGTGTTCTCTGACGTCATCGATCCATTCTTTGACAAATAAAAGCGGATAGACGAGAAGAACAACGAAATAACGAGGCCAGCGGGACGCTTCTTTTTATTCTGCCATTTCTCCGCATAGAAATACGAATCGAGAGTGCGGCTTCTGCATTTTTCTTCCGTAATTATGCGTCGTATTGTTGCTTTCAGCTCGTGCTATATTTCACTGGAGAGTCAGTGGGACAGGAAATGACGGACAGCAGGGAATTTTTAACATCTTCGGTAGAACTTCGTCTCGCCCTCTTCTAGTTCTTCTTTTTCTTCTTCTTCTCAGACAACGTTTATTTTCAACGTGCATTTTCAGCTACGTTCGTGGAAGGCTTGCGCAAGCGTAAGGACGCGTAGAATTCATATAACGCGTGAACATCCACGCTAATCAATTTCAATAGGAGAAAAGTGATTGTTCGATCGCTGATATTCATGCAAATGCATATTCACAGAGAATATGAAAGCCAGACAGAGAATTGCTTTACGTACTGCATATTATAACGAGTACTACACTTTGAATATTTCATATACTTTTGCATATTTCCCGCATTCTACGCATTTCCGCGCCTTTGAATTTCTCATAAATGCATAAAAATTCCGCTCTGTCTGGCGACTCTTCTGTTATGCGCGATATTCCATTATCCGAATAATTATGCCGCCCTCTTATTAGTTCGGACAAGGCAGGCTCCTCGCTCTCGCGTGTCTCGAAATCACGAAACCTTCGAGATTTGCGTATCTCTTACAGAGAGACGTTATAGAACGAAGGTATATACGCGTTGTACTTCACGTGCTCCGTCTAATTTCTGAGATCGCTGGGTATTTAAGGGGCGCAGTAACTTATGGCAATTTTGCGGACAACCCCAGACAGGTTTGAGTGTACATTACCGAGCGTGAGAAGGCGAAAGGTCATCATTCTCCGTCAAAGGAATCCAGAAATTTAATTAATCCGAGTCAATGGTAGCGGGATGTACGTCAAACTTGGACGCGTTGAGTTTGCGGTGGAAATTCTCGAAATTTGATGTTACGTTCCAGAGAAATACACGCAGACAGAAATCACCGTTTAAATTTGCAAGTACCGTTCAATCGACCGGTCGTCGGAAAATCGATCGAACCGGGTTTCCAGTCGAAGAAAATACGCGTTGTAATATAAAACCGAAGCACTGACTTCGATCACATATTCTTGTACCGTTAACGTCGACGCATTATTTTTGCGAAGGAACGACATGTTTCAATGTGGTTAATTAGAAGGATTTTCAATCGAAATGGCAATTCATTTTTACGGGCTATCAGAATCAACATTTCGTTGATTGTTCCATCGTTTTTACGATACGTCTTTTTGCTACGTCGTGTCATGTTCCATCTGTTCTCTATTTCGCGCGCGCCTTCTATTTCAAATAATAGGTACGTCGTGTCGTTTCATTCGATAAGAGACGCTTCATCAACATTTTAATTGACTGCAAATGGAACATTTTCAGATGGAACTTTCAAAGGTATTGCAAAGTAATACTCGTTAAAAAGAAATGCGACGGTAAAAACTCATCGCTGGCAAATTATGCCCAATTTTCTTTCCGTTAACAATCGAAAACTCGTGCAACATGGCCCCTTCTTCTCTTATAATTAGTGACAGATTTGGGGGGGAAAAAAAAGAAAGTTATCCGTGACAGGTGTCCAAATACATTTGCGAGACAGCGCGCGGTGATACGTTTCTCCGACGTTATCAGCACTTTTTAAATTCTATCGATATTCCGTTTGACGCGAGCGTCGATCCAACGATGAAATCCAATTAGCTCTGTTAATTGAATCACGCGACGCGGTAGAAATTAATTAATCTACAACAGAACAAGTCGACTGGTTGGGTAACTGACTTGATAGAACTTTTCACCGTTCAGCGGGAAACGAGGAAACTTTTCTACGCCGTCGTTTCACCCAGCCCGATTATTTATGAAAGTACAGTGACTCGCCAAAGCACTCAAACACTTTAATATAGAATTTTTTTTTTATGAACATACTATGCACATTGTACCAAACTTTTTGAAACTTCGTTAATACCGTAACGAGGCAGGATTATCCTGATTCCGCTGGTAAATTTCGAAACTAAGCCAAAGATGTATATAAAAGCTGCAAGATATTCGTTGGCAACATAAATTCGGTGAAAAATTAGCATACAGCGTTAACAGAGTAGTCTGCAACGTAAAATTAGCGTTATACACGATCACGCTGAATATTCTGGCTTAACGATGTCGCGAATAATGGATCTTTCAAATTGATGGTGTTGGCGAAATAGTTCCCAATAGATATTTCCTCGTCTCTACGTGCATACACCCTCGGATCCTTTTCAAACTTTATCAATACAATCACGATAATGGTTCTCGAGTATCTTAACATTTTTTCATGAATATATTACGCGCATCGAACGAAACTTTGTGCAACTTGGTTAGCTGTGTAACGAAGATACAACTATCCTAATTGCAATAGCGAAATTCCAGATCGACCCGAGAGTCTACGAAGAAGTTGCAAGACGTACGTTCAACGTCATTGTCGAAATTAGTATGCAACGCGAAGACACAGCTAGCGCTAAGAATGGCCCGACTAAATATTGGGATTTATTAATATAGTCGATAATTGATCTTGCCAATATCCTGACGATCGTTGCGATATCGAGTATCCTTGCAATATCGAGTAATGTCTGGAAATTTCTACATACGTTTTCAGGTTCGTTTCAACTATTATTAAGGTGACAATGATAGTTAAGTCGCGTTGAAATGCCAATGAAATTCCAAAATATCGTATATAATTTGTAATTAAATATATAAATACGTAAAATATATGATTTGTTCCTCGAAGGACTTGTTAAAGTCTGTCTGTCAGTGAGTCTGTGCGTTAAAGAAAACATTCCGCTGATATTCATCTTCTGCTCGGTATATTTTACGTTTCGGATACACTGCTTTTGTACACAGCTGTCGCAAACAGTCGACTCCGGCGTTCGACTTGCACGGTCTTTCGATCGTTTGATTAGGGAACCGCTGTTAGACTCGATGCAACACGGTCGGTGGACTGCTCAAACTGTACACGATGTAAATGTAGACAGCGAAAACCGCAGCGCACGTGCCCAAAGTGAAGACGGCCGTGTCGAATCCTACGGGAACAGAATCGAAATCGATCGTGAGCCCCGAGTTTTGACCAAAGCGTTGCTCGCTTGAATTTCGTTTAAGCGAAGGAGGAAATTTACGCCGTGTGTCCTTACGCGCGGGGAAATATTCGCGCGTAAATGTTTAGAAATTTTCATTTTTATAAACATCGAACACATCGTGTGGAAAAAAAGAAGAAAATTACACGTGAACAACGAAGAGTATCATTCGAGATAAAAATTCCAGCGACACTGGCGAATGCTCTTTCGCAAACAAGAATCTCGCGGGATCGTTAGAAAGGAAGATGAATAGAGAAGATACTTTGACGCGTTAAAGTCACGATAATTTAATGCTTCGCTCAAACTCCTGTGCAGTTCGCAACGTCTCGGTTCGTCTTTCGCAGAGTTCAGTTTCCAGTTGTTTATGAAATTTGACAAAGCCGATTACGGCCGGGGCATTTCGAATTTCATTCGATCTTTCGTCCCAGCTTTTCACCGAAAGCGCAGCACCAGCCGAGATCCTTCGCTGCTTGCGAAATTTCATAAAGCCGATTAGAATCGACGTAGCGGACCATACGAAACGAATTTCCCGACGAGAAAGTCTCGCGTGCACGTCCCAGCTCACTTGAAATCACTCGTTCGATCATCGTTGGCACGCGGAAAGTAGCCTCCGATGGCCTATCGATGAAAAGCAGAAAATTTCTAAAAACCTTCGCGTTGTTCCATGCGTTCTATATACTTTCGACAAACTTTAAACTAGCGTTAGATTTGGCGTTGTCAAGGGAAAGTATGGTTGTCGTTTCTGTGTTCACGAGTCTTTCGTCATTCAATTCGAATAGACAAAGCGCGCAATGAACGATTAATCAGGCAAAGGAGCGATTAATACGTCGTCCGACAGAGTAAAAATTGGGCGTGCGTTATCGTAAGAATTTAAAGGCGGGAAGGCGACAGAGGCGGCTGGTAACACGCGCGAAGCATTTCCCTTCGTTAACAGAGAAACGATAGAACTTTCGACAAACTTTTTCATAATCGATAAGCTCGTCGTAACGGGTCAGCAGTTTTTGTAGGATCCAGCTTCGTAGAATGGTATCGCCTAAGCTGGCAGCCGGCGTGGACATAACTTGCGAAATTCCTGACGGTCGCAGACACAATTTCGCGCAGAAGCTACAGTAAAATTTGCGGACGATGAATGGAAAGTGACGAAATTGTGCCGCACCGCTTGGAATTTCGCAAGTTAAGCTCGTACTCGCTGTCACCTTCTCCTAAGTCCTAGCGTTGTTTCCGAAAATCGCCACTGAAATCGCCGACACCATTTTTAACGACAACAGATTTGACCGACAGCGGAGCTGATTGACAACATCATCGTCCGACGATAATTTTGACTGGCACCGGTTCCCACTGACTGGCAGTATCAACACATGGAAATAACAGAGGATTTTTACTTCTGTAGGTTCGATTGTTGCAGATAATTGATAGAATATACAACCCAAACGCAATACGGAGCAGAAAAATTGAGTGGTAGCAATGAAACAACTTTTGCTTCGTTTGCAATTAATTCGCGTGAAGTTCGAACGTAATTTCGACGCGGATCAATGATTCGGTACGCGTCCTGGCCATCGTTAAAACTACAGCAGCGAAGCTGTTGACAGTTAAAGCTACCGACGATCAAACACTGTCGTCGACGAATTGCTGTCGGTGATTTGAATGGGACCCGTAAGAAGTACGCGGCAAAGTAGCTCAACGCGGGCAGAACGCAGAAACATCGAAGGATTTGGAAATAAATTTCCGCTTTTCTTTAACAGGCAACCGCGAGTTTCCTTTCGGATACGTCGAGACGCCTGCTTCGATCTCTCAGGGGAATTAAAATTGTCTCACTTTCTTTCGCGTGTTCGTCCCACCCTTGAGACGGGCATTCTTCGTCTATCGATGACTGCACCGATTCATCCTGCTTCAACGGCTTCCCCTCTGCGGTTTCGTCTGAAGTTCCTGCTTTCGTTGTCTTCTCTTCGATATCTTCCTTGACCTCTTCTGCAACCTCATCGGCCTCTTTAGTTTCTACGAAAGATCGCGCGAATATTTCAAATGCTCGCACCCAAGGCACGCAACAACTGCGTTCTGTCTACCTCTCGCCAGATATTAGAGTAGCGAGTTTCGTATCGTTAACAAACGTATTTGTTCCATTGAAAACAGAAAATTATGCCCTGAAACACCATCGGTAGTTGCAAATTGCAAATTGGAAGTTGTAGATTATAATCGTTAAAGGTAGGGCGCGTGCTGTTCAAATTATCTCACGAAGAGTATTGCGATCTTTCCTCGCGCTTAATTTTGATCGCGCTATTTCTCCAGTTCTGGCTAAAATATTCCGAATCCATCGTTGACCGATAAAGCGCAACAAATTTCTGAGGCGATCGATGAAAAAAAAGAAAAAAGAGAACTGTCGTATTATTTCTTTCTTTGCTCTTAACTTCGTTACGATACCTTCTGCTTCCTGTCGCTCGTTAGGTTCGCTCTCCATAGCCTCGGACGAACCAATTTTCGATCTCCGAGAAACATCCAACGACTCCAAACTGTTTCGGATCGTCCCGTTTCAATTCCTCGGTCGCGTTAATTCGATTTCGATCCTGAGCGAGCCACGACGATACAACATGACCGGGCAAAGAACCAACGGAACTTGATCTCGCGCACGGCGCGGAACAACCACCGCGCGACCTCTTTTCTAGTCGGATAGCCGAGCTGAAATCGTCAGTTGGGACGTCCTTAGTTAGCGGACGAGTCGGCAAATTTACCCAAGGACTCCGCCGGGCTCTGGCCGTCGTTAAGCACAAAAGGTTCCCTTGATTTCTTGCCTCTCGTTTTCCTCTCGTTGCACGGCCGAGCCTCGCGAGCTTGCACAGCTCCTCGATGTCGGCGAATTAATCCGCCTCCGGTGATTACGCGGCTAAACGAGTCTCTTCCTCGGAGGCTGCCGCGCGTTTCCCGGCGGCTGGCTTTCTGTTCGAACGATGCAAATTTATGATAAGCGCGAGACGTAGTTGGAAACGACGTCGTTTCGTTGCAAGTGTAGATCTTCGACTCAGAGACAGGCGCAGAGCATTGGAAAACCGAGCACTGATATACGTAAATACTTTTCTCTCCGTAATCGGTCGAAAATCGAGACTCAACGACCGCGGATCATCGTTTGGAGAACTCGATCGTACGTAGCGGACAGGATTCGTCGTTTTGTCGAACTTGGAAGACAGGGCGCGAGTGAAAGAATATGAATATATCATGTCGTACGTACAACGAGTCCTCCTGGAGCCCGATGGGACCATTAACGATGCAACCGGGACGAAAGATTTCGAGTCGAAGGGAACGAGCAATTGTTACCTAACTGCCAGTAAATTAGGAGCGTCCGTTTGAGGATCGGTTGCCAAGATTTCTGCTCTGTGGTCCAGTTTTTCGCTCCTTTGTTCGATGATATTCTTGGCTGGTGCTGATGAATTTTCAAATGCCCTAGGCGTCAGTCGGGTCTTCGTTATTTGTTCCTTCAGCTTGGCCAGCTGTTTCGCGAAGTTCAGCTGGAACCTCGGATCCTTCGATCGGTCCTTGCTCGACTTCTTCGTTCTCCAGCTGTTCCACGATTCTTGGCTCGCGATTCAACTCGGTGTCGGTGGAACGTAGGGGCGTTTCCATGAGTTCCTCCGAGCTAGCGCCCACCTCGTTGCTTTTGCTCTTCTCTAGGTTCGAATTCGCGGTATTACATCGACGGACAGTGGTTCGGAATGGGACCGACCTCACCAATTTCCATGGTCTCGGAATATCTTGTCGCGGACATGATTTTGACGAGGGTAGATCCCCAAACCGGCAACTCACAAAATTACGAGACTTCGCGGATGTGCCGAGAATACGCATACGAGTTATGCATCGGGCAATTTTTGTTCGCTGCCCAAAATTCTCTCCGAGGGATGAGATCGACCCCCCGACATCCGGCTACCCTTCCATTTCTCGTTATAACTTGGCAACTGTAAGAACTAGGAAAGAAGTTTACAGGCAACAGCTACTCCCTTCAATTAGGATTATCGTTTGGTAAAAAAATTGATGGATGTTGTAGCGAGGGACGGAATCGAGAAGCAGGCGGATCTTTACGAGTCCGTTTCATTTCATCGGAGCGGATTTGGGCAAGAAAAAAGAATGCATAAATACATGTCCTCGACGAGGTTCAAGAAAGAAAGAAAAAATACTAAACGAAACTGGAAACGGATTAATAGAATTGAAAACAATATTGGAGAAGCGAAGAGCAATTACAAGACGGGCAGGAACGACAATAAAGAAGCACAGCAAGGAGGCAAAAGCCCAAAAGTTGTCGTAGTTTTAAAGACAGAATAATTAAGGGAGTAAGAAGAGGGGAGGGAGGTAGATATATATATATATATATATAAGAAGCGAAATAGGTAAATGAAGTGTAAAACCGAAAGCTCGTCCAAAGCAGGAAAACAGTGGCCAAGAAATAATAATAATATATATCCTTCGTGTATCCCCGAAATTTTATAATTTTTGCAAATTCCGAGTCGAGAATCTGCCCTCGCGAACAACTGTCCTGCATGTAACAGTTGTTCGGTTTCAATTTTAAAGATAATACGGAGGTACAGAGAATTTATGTCTAATATTATTTTACCCTAGAATGGCGACGTAATCCTAACTTAGATTTAACTGAAGTTTGTTGGAAACACCTGAGGAGCTAAAGCTGTCTGGCTCAGACTATTGAACGTAGTAACACGTTTCAAGGCCGTCGAGATCGGTGAGGCGTGCCGTATTCTAAATAATTGACCATCTCTGACGTTACGCGTGTCCTTTGTTTCAGCAAATTACACAGCGTTTCTCGTTAATTAAAGTATCAATTTCAATGAAAGTATCTTCAGCGAATTTAAAACCGGAAATGAGCTCGCACGTGCAATGCGCAGATGCAATTTGCGTGTTATTTACCGGCATATTTAACGCTGAAGTTTAAAGAAGTGGACTTAAAACGTTTGAATCGATAGGGTAAACAGGAGATTAAATTTATGCGCGAATAATTGGTATTTTGTGTACTTCTCGCGTGTTTGAAAATGTACGATGAATAAGCAAAGTGCTTGGACACTGCACATTCGTAGAAAATTTCTACCAATATATTGCTCGTTTGAAAGCAAGGCAAAATAGCATTGTTATATTCGTTATTCTCGTCGTCATTGCTGTAATTCAGGATTACTTTAATCGGACGGATCGTTAAAATCACGTTTTCTCAATATTGGTTCTAATTTGTCCAAAGAATGATTCTAACAAATACTTCGAGAGGCTGATCAAATACGAAAATTTGCCAAAACAGATTTAACGTGAAATAAAGCAAACCTGCGGCCCGAGCTTGTTCAAGCATCTTGGCTTTTAAGAATGCGAGCTTTTTGCAATTGTTCTCTTTCGTGCATCCTATGATGACAGGCATTTTTCACCGACGTCTTGTAACGAGAGATCTAAAATAAAACTATGATATAAATTCTATTTCGTGGCTTGTCTTTCGATTTCTGCAATTTAAATTCAACATTTCTGTTAATTGCACGTTCAGAATTTAGTCTGTAAAAGCGAAAAAAGCAACGGTATGATAAATACTTTTATAGTAAAGAGCTTAGGGATAAAATTGAATGTTTTTATAAAATTACGAAGGGAGGAAGAAGAAAGGTGTTGTTTCAGCTCGACGCGAGATTATCTTCGCGACCCAGAAGCGTTTTCTTCGACACAGACCAACGTCCAATCTTCTGTTTCTTTCAGCAGTGCTTGTACCCACAATCTTTTGACTCGGACGCTTTCTCTGATCGTCTCTTAGAGTTAGATGTCGCACAGCGTCCCTCGCAAGCGCGTATTTCGTACGATTCAATGGGCTGTTACGAAAAGTAACATTAAACCAGAAAATTTAACTTTGCAAGCATAGTGCTTTTCTCTCTTTCTTTGATTCTCTATGATAGTTAATCCTCGAAAGCTATCGTCAAGGAACGTTACTTCATTTAATGTCAAACGCCGTCAGTCGCGTAAAAGCATACATACACAGCCCTTAAGTATAAAATATTTCTAGTTTATTTATACCTATGCCTCACAAGTTTCATATTCTGTTACTTTTGAACTTGACATACGACGAAAGCATAATGAAACTGCCTCTACTCGACCCGCATCGTTTCTACGATCGGCCTCCTACAACTGACCTACGTCTATCTCCCATACGTGCGTAAATCTCGTCATGTCCTTGTCACCTGCCACGCAACACACCCAGGATCAGGAGATCCGACGATTTCACGTTGGTTTGCTCAACATCGTACGCGGGAACTTTCGCGATTTCGGCCGGAGACGTGCTCCACAATTTGCCAAACTTTCGGAATTATTCAGAGCTCATTGGTACAGGAACTTCTTGATAGCACCGGTATTTATTGAATTACCTCGGATATCGACGCGCCGCCCCGAATATTCCGCACGCCGCAGTTCGTGGAACTCACGTCTGTTTCATAATCGAAATACTTTCCGCAGCGTGCTTCAGCGAACCGACAGAGCCGAATCATTCGAAATGAGAGACTGATCGAACCACGAAATACGTTTCTCTGGAACACTACCTTGCCAGGCTCGGTCAAGTGCTCGGTTTCGAAATTCAATTTGAAATTGTACGTTCGTCGTTGCTACTTTCGTTCGTCTGAATTTATGTAAATTCTTATATTAAGAAAAGCTGAGGAGCTGATTTGCATAAAGTTAGACGAACGAAGGAAACAACGATGAAATTTAAATTACATTTATGACAAGCGTGTAACTATGTTGCACTGTGAGCACCACGCGTATCGACCGATTATTATACTTCTGTATTTATCAAAAATATCGTCCCGTTCATGTTGCATTCTTTCATGATTGCTAATATTTATTTTAATTGGTAGAAAAATTTCTGCCAGGATAAGGTCAACTGGTTCGCAAGGGAGGAATTTTGAAAATGCAAAATTGCTCGTGACACGAGAAATTGCGTATAAAATATCCCAAAGTATGCTGGTCTCTATGATACGCGCTACGTGCAATAATTTTCGAAAAATTCGCAGTCTAAGTATTAGGAACTCGGTTGCTACGCACGATCAGCGTTGGATCTTCCCCTGTGCTAGGAGACACGCATCGAGGATCGCAATCGAAGCGATTGGTAGTGGAATTGTTACGAGATTTCAGCTCTCTACTCGGTTCGTGGCTCGGCTGACGACTCGATCGACGACTCGATCG